AGTAAAAACTATATGTTTCCTATCGCTGTCCTTTTCACATCAGTTTCGAACTGTTTAAAAAAGATTTTGAGTGTTAACCCAAAACGAAAATTGGGATCAAAACTCATACGAAAGTCTAGTTTTTGGCGCTTTTTGCCATTATTGCTCGTTGTTGAAAAAGATTTCCTCTTAATGTCTTATAATACACTCAACAAAATTACTCGTTTCTGATTGGGCAAGGGTGTACAATTAAATCCCAAATTGTACTCTGTAGTGTCCCAATTTACATTTTGTTGAGCTTATTATAAAAAAATGAACAGTCTTCTCGTACAATTCGGAATTTATAGATACTCGTGATGTTTTGGAAGTTCTCAAATGGAACTCGCGTAAAGGCTCGTACAATTTTGAAAACTTTCAAAACATCACGCGTACTTATAAATTCCGAATTGTACACGAGTTCGTGCGATTTCCTATACTAATACCTTTTTGTACTTTATTGTAAAATGGCAGAAATCACTAGATAAATCAAATCAAATCTTGACAACTGCACGTAATACTAATTGTCCACAGCCCCCTGCTAGCATTACCTATATACGCTTCCCACCTAATTTCTCATTAGCACTGATTAAACACTAGTAGATTATTTTAAAAGTTGTAATCAGATCATTTTATTACCGATGAGATGAGTATTTGCGCGTGGTGCGTGTTTGTAGCCATCTCTTCAGTTGCCGCCAATTCAAAGACCCCCTGGGTTTCTTATGAAAAGAAACAGGTGGTTGGAAAACATTTCTTCCAAGAGTCGTTATATACCGCTATTTTTTATCTTAACGTTGACTTCAATAAACAGTCAATAGTAAAGTGCGTACGCACAGCTCCCTGTAAGAACAGAACTAGCTGAAGGAACACTGACATTAAATAAGGCCTTTACGTTACTTTGCTTCGCTTTAGGAGAGGGGGGCTACAGTCATTTAAAAAAATTACTCGCTAGTGGCCAATGTTGTGTAATGCGCAATAAAGGGCTATCTATAGGTCACGTAAAGCTTTTTAGTCTCTGATTTATTGTTACCCTTAGGCCTACAGGTACGGCTTACGAGTCCACTTATAATCTTTTTATAAGTTTCCATTGTTATGATGAATATCGTCACGCCTGATATAAAAGCCTATTAGCATTCTTTCCTCTGCGTTGTTATCATTTATTGTCGATGCCTTTAAAAACTACTTGAGCGTGTTGTGCTTGAGCAGTCGATCTTGCCTAAAGTCATCATTTAGTTCTGCCGCTTATCTTTCCATCTTGTCTCTATCAGTCATTAGAAAACTATGTAAAAGTAAAAATCTGTGATTAAGGAATGATTTGTTTTTGATGTTTGTTAATGGCCGGATACTGGTAAGTTTTATTGTTTTAAAACTTTTTGAGCTATTTTAAACCATTGAGCAATGAATCAACCACGCGCGATCGTTAGGGACGTTTAATTTGTTCAACGTACTTCACACGCATATTCGCTGTTCACGCTCACATGTTAGAGCTCATCCAATCCGCTTCCTCATCAGTTCTAGTTATTTACCGATCTAGTGGTTTAACAACTACCGAAGCTGATTATATAAATACTCGGTTCTAGCGTATTCCTCCTCACATCAGCTCAGTTCTGACCCAGTGAAAGACGCTGGAAGTTGTTCGGTGTTTCTACAGTGTTTACTACGTTCACTACACGCTGAACCAATCTTGAAAATCATGAGTTTTAAGGTAAGTAACGTTTAAATTACATATCATGAATTGATGTAGAAAAAGTTATTAAACAGATTGCCAAAGTTCCAAAATTATAATGCTATCGTATCATGCTAGCAAAATATTGATTAACTAATACCCCAAAGATATAGGAAACGAATGGGAACTATGTTGAAAAAAAAAAGACATCAAATACTTAGAACAAATAAATTCTTAGAGTACTCAAGTGAAATTTTCTATTTATTTATAAACTCGTTGAAGCAGTCAGTTATGTAGCGGAGTATGACTCTAATGCCACAATAAATATTTCATTAAATGGCAAAAATTGGCAGGAAAAAAAATATTGAGCGAAAATATAGATCAATATTCAATGATGAATTTTCTTTACCATTAGTCCAATTATCATCATTATTATTATTACATTTTCTTACTAATTCAGCTTACTTTCACGACTAATTTGTTTTTAACTAATAAATATGTGTGCATTCAAGTATTGCCAAAAATGCCGCACACCTGGCCCAGTTGCACGAATAGTGCATGGCTAGCTCTTTGTAAGTATTTATCCGTTGCGGATAAATATTTATCTATATTTATCAATTGGATAAAGTAATGCTGTTATCCAATAAATTTATCCAATTGATAAGAATTCTTATCCAACGGATATAAAGAGTAATCCACTTAGCTTGGCTTAGTGCAACCTGGGACCTGTTGTATAAAGGTTGGATCCAGTGATGGATAAATCCTTATAGAGCGTTTTTACGTGACATTATGGGGGTACCAAAACAATACATTTTCTATCCTCAGGGAATTGAACTCTATTTTTATGCAAATACTGTGCAGAAAGTTTCTATTGTTTATGGCTGCCTTCTTACGTGAGTGAAAACGCTCTATCTAAAGGATAAGTTGATGCTGTTATCCAATAAATTTATCCACTGGATAAGATTTATCCATCGGATAATGTTATCCACCCCTCGTGTAACCAGGCCCTTGCCTTTTAATATGTTCGTCGAGCTACAACTTTCAATGAATATTCATGCGATAAGTCAGTGATTGCTGGATGCCTCGGGCGTTGTTAGCATCTTGTGATTGCAATTCTTTTTTTATAGAAATTAGCGTTTGGTTTATGGTGCTCTTGACTTGATACTTTCATGGTTTTCTATTGTCGCCTAGGTGGTATGGGGCTGGAGGAGGGGAGGGGGTAGG